TTGGACAACAAACAGTGAAGACCTTCTCAGCCATAAGGCCAAGTCAATTCTCTCCCCTTCCCACCTACAACTTGTTCACCTTATTTTCATTGAGAATTCCCAGTTTTCCTTCAAACCTTGCCCTTCCCTTAAATCCAGCCACTCTCATTCCAAAACACTCATGACCCTTAACTGCATGGAGGCTTTAGACCTCTTTCTCAGTCCCTTTCCACACATCTCTCTGCATCCCATTACACAGTTCATAGATAGGAGTGCCACCTCCATGCCTGCCCCCTGGGCGGGTCATGCCATAGTAAATCTAACAGAAGCTATTGAGGTTGCACAACTCCCAAAGGAGGTTGGGGTTATACACTGCAGAAGACACCAAACCTCAAATGACCCCATAGCCCAGGGAAACAAACTGGCAAGTCTAACTGCAAAATAGGCGGCTCAATCACCAGGCCCCCACTCTTCCTCTCCTGCTCAGGTCCTTCTCATGGCCCCTATGCCCTTATCCCAATATACATCCCAAGAAACACAACACCTCCAATGGTTGGGAGCACAGAGAAAGGACAACTGGTATACTCTCTGGTTGCTATGTCTTCCCTACCACAAAAGCTGAGCAAATCCTTTTAGATTTCCAGAATTCAGTTCATATAGACCATGCTGGGAAGGGCCTTATACAGTGCTTCTCACCACTCCCACGGCAGTAAAAGTACTAAGAAAGGCCCCTTGGTATCACTTATCCTCGGCAAAACTAGCACCTGAGACTTTACCCAAAAATCTGTTAACACCAAGCCAGAGGGGTCCTGCTACTCAACCTCTAACCTGACATCTCCTCACACTTCATCCATTTTAGGACCCACAAAATGAAAAATCTCCAGGATCTCCACTCTTTCCCCAATCCCTGAAGAACGATGATCTTTCCCCCAGCAATTATCCTCTCACTCGTGCAGGCCCACTTCACGTCCTTCACACAAGAGCTACTCCAAGACTGGTCCCAACCTGCTATCACAGGTTTGCCATCATGGAACATGATAAGTATATTCTACCCCATGTCCCTAACCTTTACTTGCTACAGGATTGGCCAGTGCTGCCCCAGAGCAGTGTAACATTATAGGAAGATTTCTCCTGGCACTTCTTTACCTCCTATCAGTAAGATGCTTTTTAGTAATTTCATTGTGGCAATGTGCCCTTTCAATTCTTGCAGCTCCCTAACCCTTCACATCCTTCCCATGTTTTTCCTCCTATCTCAATGCTCCCCCTTACCTGGAACATGGCGGTTCAGACTGGTCCCCGAGCGACTCATCTGTCTCCCACTTCGTGAGAAACTCTTTGTGGTCACTCCCCCACCCTGTCAATGCAGCCCGCGATGTTTCCACAAACGTCTCTTCACTTTCCTTTAATCTCACCTCACTGGGGACTGTCAGTGTTATGCGGGGCCTGCCCGCACTCTGCTTTACTACCACCACCAAATACCACCATTCACTTACCCCCTCCTTACACATGCCCTAAAACCGGAATATGTTTCCTTTGTAAAACTACATTATCCTATTGCAACGTGATTTCTTACATATTCTTTTGGCTTGTCCCTGACATCACCCTCCAGACAGATGGAGAGATGGAGATGGGACTGGGACTAACTTCAGCCCCCATCTCAGGAAGTGCCCCTACTCCCATAGGGCATTAATTGGGGCAGGGATCCTTCCTGCTACTGGGATTGGCATAGTGGGCCTTGATACTGCCTCTCAATTCTATCAAAAACTCTCAGAAGAACTAAGCATAGATAGCATCTCCTCCCTCCAGTGACAGGTCACCTCACTCATGACAGTCGACAGTCACTTTACAGAACCGTCTGGCCCTTTACTTCCTTACAGCTGAGAAGGAAGGCACCTGCCTCTTCTTGGGGGAGGAATGTTGTTATTACATAAATGAGTCCAGGGTGATCCAAAACAACTTAAACCATTTCACTGAACCCTTGGATACCCTGGCTTATGCCCCTACTAGGACCCCTAACTGTGCCTCATCCTACTTTTTGGTCCCTGTCCCTTTTGGTGTTTCTCTAATTTCTTGCAGGAACTTATATAGGCTTTCACCAACCAAAAGGTCACTGAATTGTTCCTGCGAGGAGGATATCAGCCCCTCAGAATCAGCGACCCTTCCAGGAGGAATACAACCTCCCCACATGAAACCAATACCCTGCCACCTAATTGTTTTGCCCGCCAACATAAATCTTTTATTTTTTCCATATCTTCACCCATCTCCAGCAAGAAGTAGCTTCAGAAGAATGAGACCTCTGCCCTTTTTCCCTTTTTCCTATACTTAAAAGGCAGGAATAATAGATCTGCAACATAACCAGTGCCATTTTAGAGAAGCCCAAGTACAAAACGGTGCTGTCCACCTCCTCCCCTCCCCTCCCCCATTCTCTTTTACAAGAAGCCTCACGGCTCCAGAGAAAATGAAACTTTTGGCGTTTCTGCATGCACAGAACTCTCCATCCCCATGACCTAACTCAATCCCCAACCCGGAATTACATCACCCAGCTCTTGGCGCCAACATATCTATATAAACTCTACCACCCCCACACCTGGTGCTGTCCCCCATTACCGGGGCAGCCCTGGGCTTTCCTCCATTTTGAGTACAGCCCAGCAGATTTCTTTCTTAAATAAAGCTTGAACGGTACCTGGCATCTCGGCTCACTTTCTTTCACTTAATAGTCTATAAAGTATGGCTACTAGGTACCTAATTCACCATAAAAGTAGAAGATATGGAATTCAGGCATTAAGAGCAACCGACATTGTAAAGATCAGTTTTATAAGCCCAATAAATTAACCATATGATGTGACTGCCAGAAAAGAGCTAATTTAAATATTGCCTGAATTAAAAGAAATACTGGATCTAGAACAGTGCTGCCCAATAGAACTTGCTGTGATAATGGAAATGTTCTCTATCTGTGCTGTCCAATAAGGTACCCACTAGCTACATGTGGCTAGTGTGACTGAGGAACTAAATTTTTAATTTTTTAAAATTTTAATTAAGTATAAATAGCTACGTGTGGCTAGTTGCTACCATACTGGACAACACAGGTATAGAACATTTAGAACATGCAAGGTATACACTACTGTTTAGATCAGATCTGCAGTATTGTGCTCAGTTCTAGTTGCCACACTTACAAACTGTAAGTGACACCCAGAAAGTGACCATATCATGAACAATATTAGGATGAACTGGGGGAAAGCTCTCAAGTTAAAGATTTAGATGTTACCATGAGGCACAAGGCAGCCTTAGAAATTACTGAAAAACATGTATAAATTCTAAATGAGGAAGAATTTTCTGTTCCAGATTTATAAAAATATAATGAGCTCTCTTCTTCGACAGGTATTCCAGAAGAGGCTAAATCACTTCTCATACAAGAAGTTACACAGAACTCAAGTGTCAGGTAGGAGATTAGTCTAACTATACCCCAAGGGCCAAATCTAACCAGCCGCTTTATTTTGCAAAGAAAGTTTTATTGGAATACAGCCACATCCATTCATTTATATATTGTCTGTGGCTGCTTTCACACTACAACAGCAGAGTTGAGTGGTGCAACAGAGATCTTATGGCTTATAACGCCTGAAATATTTACTATCTGTCCCTTTATAAAAAATGTTTGCTGACCTCTGGTCTAGAATAGTGGTTCTCAGAACCACATGGAGAACTAATAAAGAATACAGACACTTGGGCTTGTTGAAGTAATATAGGGCCTGACCTCTACAGTTTTATCTGTTTCCTTCAGTGATTTAATAACAGCTTTATTGAAGTATAATCCACATACAATACAATTTATACGTTTAAAGTTTACAATTCAATGGTTTTTTAGTATATTCTCAGAATTGTGCAACCATCTCTCAATAAATTTTAGAACATTTTCATCACGCCTAAAAGAAACACCATATCCATTAGCAGTCACTCCGCATTTTCCCCCAACTTCTGTAGCCCTAGGCAACTATAATCTACTTTTTCTCTCTATAAATTTGCCTATTTGGAGCATATCATATAAGTGGAACTTACAATATGTGATTTTTTTTGTGACTGGCTTCTTTCACTTAGCATGTTTTCAAGGTTTATCCATGTTGTAACATGTATCAGTACTCTGCTTCTTTTTATTGACAAATATTCCATGGTATGGTTATATCACATTTTGTTTATCCATTCATCTGTTGATGAACATATAGGTTGTTTCCACTTTTTAGCTATTATGAATAATGCTGCTAAGAATGTTCATGTACAAGTGTTTGTGTGAATATATGCTTTCAATTTTCTTGGCTTTATTTATACCTAGGGGTGGAATTGCTGGGTCATATGGTAACTGTATATTTAACTTATTGAGGAACTAATAGACTTTTTCTAAAGCAGCTGCACCATTTTACATTCCCACCAGCAGTGTATGATGGTTACAATTTCTCCACATCCTTGACAATACCTTTTATTATCTGTCTTTTTTATTATAGCCATCCTAGCAAGTGTGAAGTGGTTTCTCATTGTGGTTTTGATTTGCATTTCCCTGATGGCTAATGATGTTGAGCATCTGTTCAAGTGCTTACTCCCCAGTGATTCTGATGACACCAAAGTTTGAGAACCACTAAGAGGTCTGTAAAACCTTCAATGTCCCTTTTGACATCAATGATCCCATGAAGATAAAGCCAGAGATGCATATCACTTGCAGAACTGCACTTGCTCATGCCTTCCTGTTCTACATGACTCTGGCCTGCAGGTTAACCTAGCCTAACTCCTATTTTATAAAGCCCTATCTTATTTCTTTTTCATTTTATTTCATTTTTTAAAATTTAATATAAATTTTTAAATTAAGTTTCCTATTTTTTTAAGTCATTAAGCAAGCAGTTACATATTCTAAATTGATCAGCATAATGGCAAATATTGTGCTTTCAGTATAAGTATATATATATTTCTTTTATGTGTTAATGAAAACCTTATAAAGATAATAGTCTTTAGCGAAAGGAAAATCAATTCTTCTGTACCTTTCGTGATCCATCAGCAGTTTAACAATGTTCAGACAGAATTCTAAAGACATCTCAAGATGCAGTATTTCCATGACAGCTAAAGTGAAAAAATGAAATATCAGTTTCACTTTTTAGGAAGCTTAGCTATTTTCAGTAATTTTCCTCTATTCAAAATCTACATACTAAATGTTTCCCATATGCCATGTTTTGCCAAACTATTTATCAAAATCTTCTTTTTTAAGTACTAATATCCAATGATAGAGAGTATAGTGACACAGACACTTTTATATGGATGACAAAGTAACTTGGTACAATCCTTTTGAAAAGCAATTTGGCAATACTAATATGCTAAGTCCACTGTGGTTAAGAGCTTGGGATCTGAAGTCGGACGGACCTAAATTTGAAACCACTTGTCACCTGTATGGCCACAGGCAAGTTACTTAATTTTTCTGCACCTTAGTTCTGTCATCTGTAAAATGGGGAATATACCACCAATCTCTCTGGGTTGTTAATAGAATTACATGAGGTAATGTATGGAAATTACATTGCAAAGCACCTATCACTTAGTAAGCATTCAATATATAGCAGCTGGGCTGGCCAGCTGGCTCAGCTGGTTAGAGCATGGTGCTGATAACACCAAGGTCAAGGGTTCAGATCCCCTTACCAGCCAGCTGCCAAAAAATAAATAAATAGCAGCTGCTATTATTATTATTCTCTTTACTTCAGAAATCGTACTTCTGAAAAGTCATTTGAAATAAATATGGGAAAAAGGTTTATGAACAAAGATATTAAAAGCAGTGTAGATTATAGTAACAATAGAAAGGAAATGTACCCTGAATATCTGCTATTGGGTAGTGATAAACTATTATCCAACCATTAAAGTTGTTAAGTATGAAATAACATGGAAAAAAATGACTATGCATGAATATAAAAATATTTATAAGATTAGTAAGAGAAAAATTAGAAAACAAGGCTACAAGTACTTATGTTCACAATTTCTAAGTGATTTTGTTTAGATTCAAGTATTTATTCAACAAATATTTAAGGAGTGTATTCTCTGTGCCAGGCACTGTGCTTAGTGCTGAGTACCCAGCAGTGAACAAAGCAGAAAAAAATCCCTGCTGTCACGGTGCTTAAATTCTAGAGGATGGTGGGACTATAAGTATTTTTAGTATGTATTTTCCCAAAATTTCTTTAATGAGTATGTACTACCCATTTATAATAAAAAAATTTGTATATTTTTAAATTTCTACTTTTTCTTCTTTTTTTTTTTTTTTTTGACCAGTAAGGGGATCGCAACCCTTGGCTCGGTGTCGTCTGCACCACGCCAGTGAGCACAGTGGCCATCCCTATATAGGATCCAAACCCGCAGCACTGCATTCTCCCGAGTGAGCAACAGGGCCAGCCCAAGTTTCTACTTTTTCTACTACAAAAAATACCAGTGAAATTCTAATGCCAGAAGTTAGATTAACCATTCTAAGAGTAAGGTAAGTATTTCACTAGCAAAGAAATAAACAGACTATAAAAATGCGAGTTTCATACATTCTCTCAATACAACAAAGTAAAAATCAATTTTATTATTTTAAAATATAAAATAATTTGTATTCAGAGAAGTCTCTCAATTTGTAATCAATGAGTGACTCTGCAACTTCATTACTCCAGCTATCAGGAGTATCTAGATTGAGTTAAGTGAAAACAATCTGAAAATAAAGAATAATTTCACTTTAAACTCTGCTTTTTATCTACATTTGGATAAACACTGTAATGGGGAATTCTAGTCCAAAACTAATCAACTTCAAACTTGGCGACTCCAATAATCTCTCTGGTCTTCCTATATTGTATTAGTTTGAGTAAGCCTATTCCTTTAACTGGTTAGTTGGTTTGTTTATTCCCGTACTCAAAATAGGGGAGATGTCTTCCTGGTTCCTAACATTTCTTAACCTGTGTATGCTAAGGTGATACAACTACCTAGAAATGCAGAATCCTGTATATGTTTGAGCTTCTGAGGTCTCTTAAGTGACTGTATAAAATTCTAGAGGTCACAGAAAGATTCAGCAGTACTAAACTTAGGGCTACTGCCAAATTTTATTATTGCCCTAATTATTAAAAATTGATAACTATTTATTGGATAATCAGTAATTATAACATATAATTTTGTATAGTACAAATAATCAGCTCTTAAAGATTACTAATGTACTATAGCATGTACACATTAAAAGAATTTAGAGTAAATTATTTTTATGACTAAACAAAATTGAAATGTTGAGGGCCAGTATTGCATAGAGAGATTTTTGCCTCACTTAATGCAAGTATTAGTACTAGTAGTAGTAATAATAATAATAATAATAATAATAATAAAATAATAATAACTACAATTATAGGTAACATGTTTCACACACTAACTATGTACCAGGTATGGTGCTAAATGCTTTATATACATTATGTCATAAGATTCAAAAAACAACACGATGAGGCAGATATTATTATTATTATATCTCTTTTAAAAATGAATAAACTGAAGCACAGAAGAGTTAAGTAACTCGCCCAATGACCTACAGATACATATCAGTATGTTTATTTTGTGCTGTGTACTTTCTAGTTCCTTGAGAATTATGAAAAACAAACAGCAATGTTTATACAAGTAATCAATAGGTAATCTTTCTTCATTGTGGTAAACAACTTCAGAAGGGTTCAGCAGCTGCAATTCTCTGCTGGACTAAAAGAAAACTGATTACTTTCACTCAGTTCTTTTTTTTAATAACCACCTTATAAATTTGCTATGATTTCCTCTTTCTCTCTTTCTGGCTGACAATCTTCCCCTTTTCAAATGTGATCAGTTTCCTTCTCAGCCACCATAAGATTATACCTATTCTTAGCATACTCCAAAAGATCTTACATTCAACAAACTGTTGGTAATATTTCAAAATTGTGTGCTCTTCACACACAGAGATGATACCTTCGAGGAGTTCTTCATTAGCTGTTTCACTTTTCAAGAGGATTTGCATCTTTAAGAAAAGCCCAGCAGGATTTAAATGTTCCTATTTTAAACAAAGAAATCACAATATTAAAACTGTGGAATGTAGAAGACAATTTTCAAGTAATTGCCTATTTTATTCAACCACCACAGGACAACTCAATCAAAGGAAATCAAAATTTTAAAGATATCATAACATCAGGTCTATCCCTGAGGATATTTTCTGATATTTTATTCAATCTAAATGAAATAATACAAGGAAAAGGACTTGTAAACATCTATATTGAATGACAAACATTTAATGGTCTGATCAATACTCAAACTGAATATGAAGCCATATTCTTGATAAGCAAAACCCCAAATATCAGTTGGATTTCTTTTCTTTTGAGATTTTATTAACAACAAAGGTCCTTTTCAAACAATGGTAGAACAAAATAGAAAATGTATTGATTTTTATATAGGATATGTCTATCATGTCTACCATTAACAACGATGTACTCTGAATGATGTTTCCAAGTCATTGTTAGCTGGCCCTAAGCTATCTGTGTGTGATCTTTTGCCTGGGTTTCACTTTTGCCTGACAGGGTACAACTTTAAACAGCTGGATAAGATTAAAAGTGCAATCTAGGCCCATAGAACAGAATTTTTCTCTATACAAAGCCAATTAGCCTCTACATGAACATTATACTCATAATTCCATACAATGGAAATCAGTACAGGTATTCATGTGTGAGATACCTTAAAACTGGAAAGTTAGGAAAATTAAGCACTAGTATTAAAAGGGTTTGCAAATATAGATGACACCAATACAAAGAATAAACTAAGGTTGCCAATTTTAATTTATTACATGACCATCTTTCCTACAGGCATGTTGAACTATGCATTAGGTTCAACTCCCTTTTACCTTCAGAAATGTATAGGTCTTCCAGATCTTAGTAGCATCTGTTTTCCTCCACTCTGCTGTACTCACACCAAGTTAACGTTCTGTTCTCTTTATTTAATTACTAAACAACTCCAGAGAATGAACACTTTTGCTTCCATTGTATCATCGTTTCTTTGCTTTCATAAACATTTGCACTGTATTTGCCCATCCTTAGTGTCTCTTGGAACTACACTTTTAGAAGTTATGAATGATTGCCTGTTAAATCCATCAGCTTTCTCCCTACCATCAATATTCTTGTCTTTGTAACCTTTCTCACTATTGTTTCTCTTTTCTTTCTTCGATTTTTGTTTACTTTCTACCAAATAATTTATTAAGAAACAGGCTCCAGGTACAACAAAAATATAAGGTAAGTATTGTGAACCCTGTTTTTCAGATGAGGAACCTGAGTGAGGCCCAGATGGAGTTAAGTAACTTACCCATGGTCACACAGTTGGTAAGTGATACAGCTGAAATTTGTTTTTTGTTTTTTTTTTTTTTAAAGGAACATAAAACTATTTATTGACCAGTATTTACAATAAACAATATACAGTTGGGTAACATTCTGATTACTACAGAGCTATTGTTTTCCTGACTTCTGCTGAACCAGTAACCAAAATACTGAAAGATTTGAGCCTACATGTAAGGAATGAGTAGGGATAAACAAAAACCATGCAGGTTGATAGTTTGGTTTACAAGTTTACCCATTTATGCCAGCACATCCTAAACTGACAACATCTCTAACCATGTGCTATGTTTTCATGAGCCGAATCTTAGACATTCCATAAATCATGAACTTTTAGTCAATATAACACAGGGATTTCAACTCTTTGTAAAGGAATGGCTCGCTAGAGGAATCTTTAAATGTCCTTTTAACTGAATCTTGCTTAGCTGATTAAAACATCAGGATTTGTCCAGTTTCCTCATTGGGGTAGGTTGTTGGTAGTGACGAATTCTCCAAATAAATGGTTGCACTTATATGACTATAGATATAGATATGGATTCTGATATGGCTCTGTTTTTAAATTATCCAATTACAGAATCATCTACTTAATTTGAAAGGTTATGGCTTCAGAAAAAAATTCAACTCAAAGTGATTTATTTCTTAGGTTTTTTCAGAATGATGGCATCTCAGAAACATGAGCTTACCCCATGGTTTTTGCTTTGGTGAATGTTTAAAAGCAAATAAACAAAAGAAGCCATTTACATATATATTTTATATATATACACACACAAAAACAAACAAACCCAGAATGGTCCTTAGGCATATGAATTAAACATAAGTTCTGATTGAGTAATGACTGTGGAAATTTCCCCCAACATTTAGAAAAGGTGTTTTCTAATGCAGAGGAAATAATATACCATGGTATCAAATGTTCTTTTCTGATAAAGGAGGCAACTACAGAAAGCTTTTATTTATTTGTAAAAAAATAACCAGTGCTATTGATGCAAAAGATATTTTATATATGTATACATAAATACATAAAAAGCAATGCAAACAATTATTGAGCTTCATCTTCTGGAAAAGAACGCCAAGTTAGTCTCTTCATAAAAAGCAATTACAATATGAGGACACTTCATATTTGCCTCTTTTTTTTTTTTTTTTCCTTTTTGTCTTTTTTCGTGACCGGCAACGGATCGCAACCCTCAGTGTCGCGCCCGCACCGGACCGGGACCGGCCACGGGATCGCAACCCTCGGTGTTGCCCCCGCCCCTCGCTCAGCCAGTGAGCGGCCGGTCTGTATGCGGGATCCGAACCCTCGGCGGGAGCGCCACCGCACTTCCCAAGCAGCGCACTATAGCAGTGCGCCACCGGGCCGGCCCCATATTTGCCTCTTTTGCCAGCACCAAGTCTGCCTCAAATGAATCTTTCCACTTCATGAGAAACATCAATTCTCCACTGCTGTCTGTGGCACCAATTATTGTTTCAGGATCAAGGCCTCTGGCAAAGGCTCTTGGTTTATCAGTATCTATTTTCTTCTTTGATTTGCTGTAATCCAATTCACTGTCAGATAAAGATTTTCTTTTTGTATCATCTTTTTCTTTACCAGCTTTTTGAGAATTAAGAAATGCTTCAGTTAACTCTGGACAACCTAAATTTTCTTCAGGTTCCCAAATATTGTCATCATCTGTAAATTCCTTCCACTTGAGGAAACACTCCACCTTCCCATTCACTACATGTTGGTCCAGTACTTTTTCCACCACAAATTCTTCAGGCTCTGCCTCTTCAACTTTTTTACTTTTTCCATTCTGTTTCTTTCCCATTTTTTGCAATGTAGTTTTATTGGAGGCCATTTTTACTTGGAGACTTGAAGAGCTATTGTTCACCACCTCTGAGCTGCTCTGGGTCGCGGGTCTGCAGCATCTTCAGCTCTGCGTATCTCTAGCTTGAGCCACATATGACAGCTGAAAGTTGAATTAAGATCTCTCTGACTCTAAAGGTCATAATCTTTCTACTATAATATGCTGCCTCCCTTGAAGCTCTGTCTATCCTGGACCTGCATATTACTACACTGTCTGGGTCTCCTGCAAGCTGTAAAGATAATGTATCCATTATTTTTAGTGTGGAGTATATCATATACATACACATGTACACATGAGTATATAAAACATATATGTATACTTTATGGAATAATAATAAAACAAACACTCATGTACTTACCACCCAAGTTTACCTACCACCCAGGTTAAGAAACAGAACATTACCACCACATTAGAAGCTAGAAGCCTCCAGTGTAGCCTTGCCCATTTGCATCCTCCTCACTTCTCGACAGAGATAAACACCATCCTGAATTGTGTGCAGTAATTCCCTTGCTTTTCTTTATAGATACACAATATATTGTCGCTATGGGCTGAATTTCCACCCCCACAATTCATATGTTGAAACCTTAATCACCAGTGTGATGGTATTTGGAGGTGGGGCCTTTAGGAGGTAATCGGTTCATAAGGATGGAGCCCCCTTGAATAGGATTAATGCCCTTAAGAGACATAAGAGAGATGATCTCTCTGTCTGTGCCAAGTGAGGATACAGCAGGAGGGTGGCCACTGACAAAGAAGAGGCCCCTCACTAGAAACCCAGTAGGATGGTATCTTGATCTTGGACTTCCCAGCCCCCAGAACTTTGAGAAATAAATTTCTGTTGTTTAAGCCACCCAGTTTATAACATTTTGTGATAGCAGCCCAAGCTGGCTAATATAATTATTTACTTTTGCCTACATTTGAACTTCACTTAAACAGAATCATAATGTATATAAATTCTTCTGTGACTTGCCTCTTTCATTTAAATCATGTTTTTCAGATTCAGCCATGTTGATACATAAAACAATTTATTTGTTTTCATTACTACATAGTATGGTTCTCAAAGGGTGGTCCCTGCATCAGCATCATTTGGGAACTTGTTAGAAATGCAAGCCCCATCCCAAACCTACTGAATCAGAAACTCTGGGACCATTGCCCAGCAAATTGTGTGTGTGTGTGGGGGGAAATATGGGTAAAATCATTATTATTGATTTGCTTATGAAAAGTTTCCATTTCAACATGAATTCTAGTACTTGCTTACTAAGGTAATAAATGAGAAAACTGTTTTAACAGGCATTCTAGGTAATACTTATGCATGCTAGAGTTTCGGAATGACTCCTATAGAGTATTCCATTGCATGAATACATCACAATTTATTTTCCCATTATACTTTGGACATTTGAGTTGCTTCCAACCCAATTGCTATTGTGAAAAATCCTGATATTAGCATTACATACAACTCTAGTAGTATACAAATGCTAGAGCTTTTCCAAACTGTATACCTAGGACTGAAGTTGCTAAGTGGTTGGGTATGATCAAGTTCAACTTTATCGAGTAATGTCAAACTGTTAACGAAAATGATTGTGCAATTCTCAAAAAACTAGGAATGAAAGGAGCTTCCTCAACCTGATAAAGGGTATCTACGAAAAACCCCCAGCTAATGCCATACTTAATGGTGAAATACTGAAAGTTCTCCCCCTAAAATCAGGAACAAGTAAAGGATGTCTGCTCTTGCCACTTCTATTCAACATTATTATTATTTTTTTTTTTTAAAGATGACCGGTAAGGGGATCTTAACCCTTGACTTGGTGTTGTCAGCACCATGCTCAGCCAGTGAGCGAACCGGC